CTCTAAGGCTGTGATCTTTATAGGGAGCCCTGGTGCAGCAGTGGTTAAGAGCTCAGGCTGCTAATGAAAAGGTTGGCAGTTTGAATCTGCCAGCCCGTCCTTGAAAACCCTCTGGGGGCAGTTCTACTCCGTTGACTTGATGGCAACATGTTTGGTTTTTGGTTTCAAAATCTTTAAAACTGCCACATCATTCTCCTGCAGAACGGCTGCTGGATTTGAACCGCAGAACTTCCAGACCACTGCACCACCAGGGCTCCTTTGTCCTCAGTTAGTAAACATGTAGTCATAATCCTCCTCAAGTCTCAAAGAGATGAAATCATTTTGCTTGGCGACATTAAAATAACACACTCAAAAGAAATAAAAAGTGCTTGAATAAAAACAGAATGTTAAACGGTTAAGATTTCTTTCATGAGTTTTAAAAATATTAAAAGTTATGTCAAAATATAAAATAAAACATGCTATATTATGTTAACGTCATGTCAATATGCTGTTAAAATATGTTAAAAGTGAGCACCAAATATGATTTACTTGAAAAAGTTTTGTGACACTCTTTTATCTATTGTCAGATTAACACGTACAAAAATTAGCCCTTAGAAGCATTTTTCTCTTAAATTTAATACTCTCTTTTTTTGTGTCCAATAACAACAACCAAAGATGCCTTTTGATAAAATTTAGCATCTCCATCCAAAGTCAGATAATCACTTTTAATCCTTATGTCTCTATAAAATCTTCTCTTTAAAAAAAATGTTTCTCCCATCCCTACTTAATTTTTTATAAACAATAAAAAATTCAAGGTGTTTTAAAACACACCTTTCTATCTTTTGATAACTCTTAACCTCCTTTTGTGTTATTCTCACACCTGTGAAAATTATATATGCATCTCATATTTCATATTCTGTTTTCTTCTACTCACTAACTACATTACATTTCTTTAATCTCCTCTTAAAGAGATTAGCTCATCCAAACTGAACATTGACTTTAGTTTCCCTCAAGTTCAAAACACAATAGGTACAAAAAAAGCACATAAGAATATGTTTATTCCCTCAATGTCAGTGTCAAATTAAATGACGTGTAATTTTAATTAATAAAATAATTTTATGTTATGTTACATTACCTAAAAAGATTGTACGTTTACTTGCTTCAAATTTATTTACAGGAAGCTTTAAACTCATTTGTTTTTCCTTTCCCACTTAAATCTCCAATTTTCTTCTACACAATCCTTATAGTTAGACAATTTAGATTTTTGGTTATACATTCCATGTGCACAAAAGTGGATTAATTTACTTGAGCAGACAGGTTATTTTGTTTTAAAGAAAGTATACACTATTGTAACTGGCTACTTGAAATTGGAAAATAAATTATTTAAATTCCTAAAAATATTGAAATAATTCGATACAGTTAATAACCTACTAAGCGTAAATAATAAGCATAAAAACTTGCAAAACTTCAACCAAAGCATAAAACTAGGATCGTTTTGGCTGTTGCTAACCACCTATAAAATCACTATGAAGTTATTTCATCTCTTATCCTAAGGTTTTTCATTTTAAAAAGAGGGAATTTATGACTTCTAACATTCCTTTGCTTCTAAATGTCTGGGTCCCTTTAGACATGCAGTGCAGTTTCAGCCCTGAGTTCAGTACCTGTTACAAGCACATTTACACACACACACCACAATCACATTTCTGTTAAGGAAATCTTATGAAAGAAAGAATACAGAAATTCAAATTAGAGGCCAGGCATTTTCATACATTATTAGTGGGCCAGTAACTGGATATCCTTTTCTGAAAGTCAGTGTGACAATATTAAAAATCGTAATGAGAAAGCCCTTCAGTCCAGTATTTGCATTTCTAGAAATCAATCCTGAAGAACAATTTGCACATTTACGTGAACATACATGTTTGAGGATCTATAGTGCAACATTGGATGTATAATATGCATTTCATACTAAACAAATTCAAACCCGGTTTTTTATTTCTACTCTTAATTTTATTCTACCTATATTTCCACATTCTAATGAATGGCTCCAGTGACTCAAGTCAAATATTAAGGAGTCATTATTCATTCCTCCTTCACAATCAATCCACTAAAAAGTCCTTTTCTTTTTCTTCTAAAATACATTTAGAATCAGTCACTCGTCTAGATCTCTACTGCTACCACCCCAGTCCCAGTCATCTTTATCTCTCACTATAGTTCAGTAGTAAGAAACCCCAAAGTTATTTCTCCCCATTTACTCTTGTTCCTCAGAACCACAGAGGCGAAAAGTGATCATTTTAAAACATAAATAAGATCATGGCACTTCCCTGCTTAAAACCCCTCCATGGCTTCCCAATGCACTTAAAACAAAATCTAAGTGCCTCACTCTGATGTCTGCTAGCTTCTCCAAGTTCATCTCATGCCAGGTTCTCCTTAGCTTTGTTGACGCTGGCCAGAAATGACAATTCCTAAAACTTACCAAGCTCTTTCCAGCTCTAAGGCCCTGGATCATGCTTCTCTCCACCCTGAAAAGCAGCTTTCATGACTGGCTTCTCATGATCCTGTCATCACAAAAGCCTTCCCAGGCCCACATATTTACCCTTTTGTATACTATTACATCATACTATTTGTTTCCTTCATACACTCACTTCAATCTCCAAATATCTTTTTTTTTTTTTTTTTTTACTGATTTTTTTATCTCAGCTCACTAGTACATAAAATTGAGATGGCAGAAAACTGTTTTATTGTTGTTACCCCAGCACCGTGTATAGTCCATCAATAAAATAATAGTAGGGAGAATGACAAAAAAAAAAAAAACCTGTTGCTGTCGGGTCGATGTTTTCTTTCATTTGCCATGAATAAGATTTAGATCCCTGGGTGATGCAAATAGTTAAGCACTTGACTGCTAGCTGCATGGTTGACGGTTGGAACACACCCAGAGCTGCCTCAGGAGACAGGGCTGTCGATTTCCTTCCAAAAGGTCACAGCCTTGAAAACCCTACTCTGCACACATGGCGTGGCCATGAGTCGGAATCAACTCGACAACAACTACCAACAACAGCAAGATATTGTTTACATCATGAGTCCTGGAGTAACAATTTTACAGATCAGCCAATTCCTATATGTAATCTACTTTAGCTAAAATAATACAAAACATCAGTTAGGCAAGAATTTGGTGAAAACCTGCATACTAAGCAGGAATGTATTACAAATTTACAATCTGGCTTCAGCAATCATCTTAGCTTTACCTCTGGCCACACACTTACCTTAATTTGTGGCCATTTCTCTTAGGGAAATATAAGTTATACAGAATGGCTGTAACTCAAGGAGCGTATGGCAAGAGATGAAGCAAAGACGATTACTGAGGGCATATCAGACTTTTGTACCGGACTGCGGAGTGTGTTTTGGTTTAGATTTTTGAGCAATGTTTGCTTACTTTAAGAGCAAGAGGGTATCTGAGCAAGAGTGAGGGACTAGATGCAGCAAGCAAATTGCCACCTAAATACCACGAACACAATAACATTGCTGCTATCTTACAATCAGCATCACATTTTCTTATGTCAGACTAAAACTTATATTTTCCCCTACTATTTAGTTTTCAAGAAGGCCTGGTGGTAGAGTGGTTAAGTGCTTAGCTGCTAACTGAAAGGTCAGCGGTTCAAACTCACCAGCTGCTCTGTGGGAGACAGATGTGGCAGTCTGCTTCCATAGAGATTACAGCCTTGAAACCCTATGGGGCAGTAGCTATGAGTTGGAACCAACTGCTGGGAAATGGGTTTGGTTATTTAGTTTTCAAAGAGGTTATATTACAACCTATGCTGCAATATGTGCCCTGTTCCCAAAATTTGTGAAGTTGATGTTATCCAATCTTGTCCTATCTTAGATGATATACTAGATCCTACATAAGTATTCTTACCACTGATAACATTCTTATCTCATTCATTCCAAACACTGCTACATTTTAAAATGCACCCTCTATTCATCTAACCACTTGCATATTCTATTTTTACTTCCAAAATGGAGTCTACTTACCTAATAAGTGCACTTCTAAAACCCTACTGCATAGATACTTTGTTATATATATTTTTTTCTATTTGATATCATTCGATAATCAGGAAATTGGTCTTGGAACCAATTAATTTTAATATTAATTTCCTATATTAACACAGACAAATATAACAACCTCAACTTTTTAAAAAATGATGCTACTTACAGGACCCAATTCTCCTTTCTCTTCTTACTCTAAGCTGTTTCTTCACATAACTAACCCATGAAAGTTTCTGAATTTGTAACCCTCTGGTTTTGTTCTACATTACTTCAACATTTGCTATTAAAAGTTCCAGGAAGGACAATAAAAATGCTAAGATCTACTGTCATTAGCACATTCCTCTGGCTATCCCATAATTGTTTTTCCATTAAAAATGACTCTTTGAAAATAAAGTAGAAATAGAATTAGTCACATTTCCTTTTTGAGATTTGGAATAATAACACACTTCTTCATCTAACCAGAGCAACACTTGGGCTACTCATAAAGTTCTGTATCTTTAACCTAGAGAGCCCAAAATGAGCTAGTTTCAGTTCTTCGGAAAAGCTCCACCCCTTCTATAAATCCCCCCTCTCTTCCTCTTAAATCAGATATCATCACCTCTAGGATGCACTACTGTAAGCACAGTCATTAAATCACAAAGGGAAAAACTATAGATCTCAATACTCAATGAGGTCAAACACCTGCAAAGGAAAGCAGGTCATCTCTTTTGGAGGAGGATTGTATATAATATGGGGAATGAGAGTCAGAGGATTAACAATTCAGAGAGCCACTGAAGTGATGAATAATGCACAGTCTGTCTCTATAATCTCCTACCTCACACAGTTCACATGAGGAGTAAAGCAATGAGCAGTGAAAGATACTTAAACCTTCTCTCCACTTACCTGTACCAATAAATTGCAATACAGAGTTAGTGACCTACTTTTGTACTACTTCTGTAGATTAAAACAAACAAACAAAAAACAAAACAACAGAAACTTACCTTCAAAAATGGACCCCAGTTGATATTCTCCACTAAAAAATTGTGGCAAGGAAAATACAAGTGCCCCTAGTCCTATCATAAAGGATGCAAATGCAAGCCATCTTGGTTTGTGTCCTCTCTCGCCAAAGAATGATACGAATATAGACAACACACAGAATGAGATATCATAGCTGGATGATATCAGGCCAGTCAGGGAACTCTTCATTTCATAGCGCTTCTCAATAGTAGAAATGCTAATATTTACTAGGCCATTGACTACAATACCTAAAAGAGAAAAAAAGGAAATCTGTGTGCATTATTACAACTTTGTCATATAGGTTATGATTATTAACACAATGTACTAACGTTTGATTTTTCCATTTCATTTGATATTTTTAAATGTACCAGTTTAAAAAAACCCACAAAATTGCAAAGTTCTATAACTCAAACCTACTTCCTTGAAAATCGCAGTTCACTTTTAAATTGTACACTTCTGAATTTTCAGGTGCGGTTGGAAACCACCAGCAGCTCCGTGGGAGAAAGGTGTGGCAGTCTGCTTCCGTAAAGATTTACAGCCTTGGAAACTCTATGGGGTTGCTATGAGTCAGAATCGATTGAACGGCAGTGGATTTTTTTTTTTCCCCGGAAACAAAATTGATACACCTTACATATTAAGTTGTAGTTAATTGGGCTTAATTCGTTTTTCTTTAAATAACAAACACAAAATTAGACTGGAAAACTTCATGAAGCCAAGGTGCTAGAGAGTTTCAAAGGTGGCATACTCCCACAAGCCTCCCTAGGAAAATCACAAGTACAGGTGACCCCACAGGTCATTTACAATGCTTAACTTCTCAAATTACTCAGTCCTTAAACAAACTTATTTATGAAACAGATCACTTTGACCTGGTCTTAAGAAAGTGAAACTGAGTTCTCAAACCTCTTTTTTTCTAACACTCTTACAGAAGTTAAATTGATCATTTAAAAGGTACTGCAACAAAATTAAACATAAGCTAAGAGTCTTATTTCAACCACTGGCATTCTAAGTTGTACACAATGTAAAAGCAAAAAACAAAACAAAGCAAAAAACAAAAAAAAACTACTTCATCTACTCATCTAATTATTAAAACTATACAGAGGAATAAAAGGCTGAAAATCCCGCTTTGACTAACTTAACAAAAGTGTCCTGTCCAGATACAAATTTATAGGAATTTAAAATTACCAAAAAATAAAAATAAAAAGCATTTGATCAAATTATAAGTTTTTAAACTAGTTATCCCTTTTTAGAGATCATTAATCTTTTTCATTCATTAATTAATGGGAAGAGTATTCACATGCCAACAATCTGTTGAAATTTTGCTTCATCAAGATTTGAAATGAAAATAAATTTCTACAAAGGTGATATAAGAGGTTTCGTAAGTCCTAATGTGATTTTTAGTTTTATGCCAGTTTAATAAGTCTATTAAGAAGCCCTGGTGGCACAGTGGTTAAGTGCTCAGCTGCTAACCTACAGGTAAGCGGTTCAAACCCACCAGCTGCTCCATGGGGGAAAGATATGGCAGTCTGCTTCCGTAAAGATTGCAGCCTTAGAAACCGTATGGTGAAGTTCTCCTCTGTCCTATTGGGTTGCTATGAGTTGGAATCGATTCAACAGGAATGGGAGAGGAGGATAAACCAAATTATAATTCCTGAGGTTTCAAAATAAAGTATCTAAGGTATCTAGTAATGATGCTTTTATAAGGAGATAAAATTATCTGAGAATAGGAAAATTTCTCCAACCAAAAATCAACTCCCCAACACACTTGTCATACTAACTAAAAATCAGTCATTTGAAATCAATGCCTTTACAGTAAAAAATTTTTTTGGAAAAACTAAATTCATAAATTCTTCTGGAATAAATAGCACATTAAGCCTGTGAATCACAAAGTGAATGCTATGCTACCCAAGCTCCAAGAGCTCTGCTTAAAAACTAACTAAATCAATGATCTACGACATACTGCCTGTCAAGTATATATTGTAAATGCATGAAAACTGGAGGCATGTTAGAAAATTAAGTGCAAAGAGAAACCCTATTTGTTCATTTGAGAAATGCCGAGTTAGATAAATTAATTTGACATTATTTTCCCCCATTATCAAAACTAAACCCACTGCTGTCGAGTTGAATCCAACTCATGGTGACCCCATGTGTTACCCAGTAGAACTGTTCCAAAGGGTTTTCTGGGCTCTAGTCTTCATGGAAGCAGATCACTAGCCTTTCTTCTGCAGTGCTGCCGGTGGATCTGAACTGCCAACCTTCTGGTTAGCCGTCAATCGCAGACCATTTGTGCCACACAGGGACCATTTGCCCCATTAAACACTTATTAACATATTATGGAAATAGTCTTCCCAAGAAACATATTTGAGATACCTGGCAACAATGTTTTCAGACATTAAGGTTAAACACAAACATGAATGAATTTGTCATGTTGCTTTCATCTATGATTATGCTTCTAAAATTGAGGACCTCTTAGTCGGAACTGACTCAATGGCAATGAGTTTTTGGGTATATGCAGCTTCAGACTAAACCGGATACATATTTCTAAAGTGTCAATTATATTTGATAATTTTAAACAATATTTTCGTATTAAATATAAAATGATACATTCTGGAGTAATATTAAAATTTCCAAATAACTGTTAAGATAAGACAAAAGATAAGAAAATTTTCACTTCTTTGAACTACATATTCTTGATACCAAGATGTTTCACAATCACTGCTTTTGTACAAGATGAAGACACTGACTAAAAGTGAGCTTTGGTGAGGACAAGAACAGTGGAAATAACACTTGAGCACAAAACTACCTTCAGTAGAGGAGCTGTGGTTGACATGCAATCAACAACTATTTATTTAATGCCTAACGTGTACAAAGCAAAGGGCACTGGGTTCCTTGGAAAGGGGTAGCAGAGATAAGAACAGAAAGTATACATTTAAATGCAGATTTTTATTAATCTAAAAAAGAGCAACTTCTAACCACCCCTCCCCCCAAAAAATATTTCCTGGATCACATCTTTTCCAATCAGTCTTTGATTGACTCATCTTTACAAAAATATTTTGAGACTTTGATTTGAGAGACCAAAAATCTCTGTTGTTGTTAGGTGCCATTGAGTCAGATCCAACTCATAGCGACCTTATACACAACAGAACAAAACCTTGCCTGCCTGCGCCATCCCCACAATCGTTGCTATGTTTGAGCCCATTGTTGTCACCAGTGTGTCAATCCATCTCATCCAGGGTCTTCCTCATTTTCACTGACCCTCTACTTTACCAAGCATGACGTCCTTCTCCAGGAACTGGTCCTTCCTGATAACATGTCCAAAATATGTGAGACGAAGTCTCGTCATTCTCGCCTCTAAGGAGCATTCTGGCTGTACTTCTTGCAAGAAAGATTTGTTTGTTCTTCTGGCAGTTCATGTTGTATTCAATATTCTTCCCCAACATCATAATTCAAAGGCATCAATTCTTCTTCTGTCTTCCTTATTCATTGCCCAGCTTTTGAGGGCATATGAGGTGATTGAAAACACCATGGCTTGAATCAGGCACAGCATAGTCCTCAAAGTGGTATCCTTGCTTTTTAACACTAAAAAGAGGTATTTTGCATTGTTTGATTTCTTGGCTGCTGTTTCCATGGGCACTGATTATGGATTCAAGTAAAACGAAATCCTTGACAACTTCAATATTTTCTCCATTTATCATGATGCTGCTTATTGGTTCAGTTGTGAGGATTTTTGTTTTCTTTATGTTGAGGTGTAATCCATACTGAAGGCTGTAGTCTTTGATTTTCATCAATAAGTGCTTCAAATCCTCTTCACTTTCAGCAAGCAAGCATCTGCATATCACAGGTTGTTAATGAGTCTTCCTCCAATCCTAATGCCCCATTTTTCTTCTTATAATCCAGTTTCTCTGATTGTTTGCTCAGCATACAGATTGAATAAGTATGGTGAAAGGATACAATCTTGATACACACCTTTCCTGATTTTAAACCACACAGTATCCCCTTGTTCTGTTCAAATGACTCTATTTTCTTGGTCTACACACAGGTTCCTCATGAGCGCAGTTAAGTGTTCTTCATTAATCTCTACATACCATCAAATTCAAACTAACCTTCACCACGTACTTTAAAATACTCCATTTTGTGCCTATCCCTCCTCAGTTTATCACCTTCAAGTTTCTTCCCAGTTCTTTCATCCCCTGTATTAGAAGCACCACCTCAAGCAGCTTTTGCCTTCTCTATGCTTTCTTCCAAGGAGCCCTGGTGGCACAGTGGTTAAGCACTCTGCTGCTAACCAAAAGGTGGGCAGGTCAAACCCACCAGCCACTCTGCTGGAGAAAGATGTGGCAGTCTGCTTACATAAAGATTTGCAGCCTTGTAAACCCTATGGGGCAGTTCTACTCTGTCCTCTAGGGTCGCTACGATTCGGAACCGACTTGATGGCAAGGGATTTTTCAGGTTATGCTTTCTTCCACAGGGGCCATTCTCCCTCTACCATAGCACTCCTCTTCCAAACCTTGCTTAGATTGCAACCTCCTGAGGGTATAAACCTAGGCTTAATCTGTAACTCCCAAGAGAACGTAAAAGAGATCCTTGAACAAAACAGGTTACTGCCCACGGCTAATACAGGCGAAACCTTAGACAATGCCGGAAGCCTTTCCTAATTTACTCGCTGGGTACCACTTGTGTTCACATACCCTCAAACTATTCACAAAACATTAATGCTTATTTCTAATCTATACTAGAAACGTAAAATACATTTATATTTTGAAGAATCGCCCAACTCACTTCTGTAAAAGTATTAACCCTTTAATGCCAGAAACGATTTCAAAAATCCTTTAGTATAGGATTCAGAAAAACGTACACTTTCGTACTGTGGAATCGATTTCCCCAGGGGATACCGTCGCCAAACGCTAACTTGCAATTTTCATGTTGCCTGGAGGAATCGAATCTGCTAAACTGAGGTCGAGCAAAAACCAGAAAAAGCTTGTATAGCAAGATTTAAATGTTGTGATGAAAGAGAAGCCCAAAAGCTCAAATGTGGAAGCCTGAACATGATTCGTTCAAGTGCTGCGAGCGCTTGCAAGTTACAAGCCCTGGCCCGCCTGCACCGCCAGCTAACACCGGTGGATCCCCCCGCACCTGCCCTCTGCCGGTTGCCCCCCGCCACCTCTCCGAGCCCCCTCCTCGCTCTCCGATAGGCCAATCCTATCTCCATCGGGCGCTGGACTTTACCTTGCGTAAGGGCCAGAAGGCAGTAGTGAAGCAGGTAGCCCCGTGGCGTGTTGCACCGCTGGAGACATTCGGGGTGGAAGTTCCCCCATCCGCAGGGCCCCTCCTCAAACTCGGGTAGCGAACGTGGCCTGGATCGCTCCTGGGAGGCAGAGTGAGTTCCTGGAAGAGGTGAGGCAGAATGCGGCTGTTGTGGCTCCGGTGACTTCTGGGGCTCCTGAGGCTCCTGCAGCTGTGAATCTTCTTTCTGCGTGTCAGAGGGCAAGGCAGAGACCTCTACGTGAGAGGGCGATGCAGACAAACGGCGCGGGGTGTCCGGGCTGGAGGGGACGAAAGCCGGGTTCTCGATGCCTTTGGCGTCCTGCATGGTGAGAATGGGTTCTCCCGACCCCAGTGCCTCGGAGCAGCAAAAAACCAGAACCCGCTCTAGCTCCTCCCATGAACAGGTAACAGCGCCCCCGTGCGGGACCAATCCAACTCCCTGCCGCCTGCCTTCTAGGGCTCTTGCCCCCGCCGCCACCGGGACCTTCCTCTGTGAATGCCCGGCCGCCCTGAGCTCCTTAGCGCCCAGCGCGCGGCCGCCCTGAGCGCCCAGCTCTGGTACAGTTGGCGCTCCACTGCACCTCACCTGACGCTGCTGGGGCCAACCGGAATGCACAGCATGGGCGTGTGGTCCGGCAGCGGCCAGGTGAGGGAGGAAAGTCCTGAGGCCACCCTTGGCCGGTGCCCAAGCGGAACTGTCTTACAACCTTCTCCCTCTCTCCCCGCCTCCCCGCCCAGGGACTGGGAACAAACAGGTCGTGGGAGTCTGGTGGCCGAAGGCTCCCCATGGGTGCTGGCACGAAAGCGGTAAGCGCGGTTGCATCAGGAGATCGTTCAAGAAAATATCCTGCAGTGTTCTTCCTTTGCTGCTTACTAAAACAGGCTGACTTCAAGAACAAGCAGCCACAGGAACAATCCTTTAGATTCCATGAGCATCCTGATAAGCCTTTTCCCTGTCATCCTCCCTAGAAGTGTATTCTCCTCCCCCACCCCCATTATTAACATCACAGCCCAACTACCGTTTTGATTTTACTTCCTCCAAACTGAGGGGATAGAAATTAAAAAAGTTTAAAAACATATATCTCATTCTCCCTGATGAATAGTGCATATCTAAGATCAACAACGCTCATAAACATGTAAAGAATTTCTACTTGGAATAAATAGCAAGAACACTTTGAAGAACTGATCACAATTAGGTGATATTGGTTACAATTCATTCATTCATCAAATAAATATTTGCTAAGTATTTCCTTGATGCCAAGCATTGTTCTCCAGGGGTACCAGAGTAAAGGAAACTGACAAATATCCTACCCTCATAGTATTTACATTCTAATAGAGGGTTGTTGTCGTTGGTACCCTCTAGACAATTTCCACTCATGCCGATCCCATGTGTACTGAGTAGAACTGCTCCATTAGGTTTTCAAGGCTGTGACCTCTCGGAAGCAGTATCTTCCAAGGCACCGCTGGGTGAGTTAAAACTTACAGTCTTCCAGGTAGTAAGCACAAGTGCTTATCCGTCTGCTCCACTCAAACCTGTTACCGTTGAATTGATTCCGACTCAAAGAGACCCTATAGGACAGAGTAGAACTGCCCCATGAAGTTTCCAAGGAACCCCTGGTGGATTCGAACTGTTGACATTTTGGTTAGCAGCGGTAGAACGTAACCACTACGCCACGAGGGTTTCCACACAAGGACTCCCTAATAGGGAGAGAGAGACCATAAGTGACAAATACATAGCACATTGCACAGTGATAAGTACTATGGAGAACAGTAAGCCAGGGAAAGGAGTAGAGTGTGTTTGTTTTGGGAGGTGTGATGCATTTTAAATAAAGCAGTCAAGGAAGTCTCACTGAAAAGATGATATTTGAGAAAGACTTGATTTAGATGCGGGAGACAGCCTTGTATATTGGAGTTATAAATTGGCTAGTGTGGAATGAGTTGGTCAGAAGCAATAGGGGTTAAGGGCAAAGGTAAAGGGGTAGAGGCAGGGGCAGATTACCCAATAAGCAAGGCAAGCACAGGTTTATTTGTACTTAACTTTCTAATCTGTAGTGAACAATTTCACAGGTTTTCACCACCTGTGAAATTATTCACTGCATATTAGAAAGTAAGCACAAGTAAATTTGTGCTTACCTTGCTGACTGGATAATCTGTCCCTGTCAGAGATCGTAAATTTTAAGAGGCTTTGATTCTATAGGAAGGTGCTGGAGGGTCGGGAGAGAGACAGATATCAGCCATACCTAGAAGTAGAATCTTTGATAGAGTGAAAAAATGTGAAACTGTTCACTACAGATGATCTGGTAACCAAGGTGCTTACCTTGCCTATTAGATAATCCACCCCTGGGCAGAGATGAAGTGAGAAAGAAGTGATTGGAAGGAGACCATGAAGACCTTAAAACCAAAAACCAAACCCATTGCTATGGAGTCGATTTTGACTCATAGTGACCTTGTAGGACAGAGTAGAACTGCACTGTAGGGTTTCCAAGGCTGTATATCTTTACGGAAGCAAACTGCCACGTCTTTCTTCTGCAGAGTTATATAGATTTATGCTTTTATTGTGAGTAAAACCAGAAGGTTTTGAGAAGAAGAGTCACATGAGCTGACTTAGGTTTTCAAAGCCTCCATTCTCCCCTTCTAAAGATATTCTAATATATCCCAAAGGAATATGTTTTAAGCGAAGAAGTTTTTATAACTGTATATCAAGCTTTGAAAATGTTTATCTTTGCCAAATAAAATAAAGATTTATTCAATAAGGAACATAAACAAAGCAACACGTATTTCCTTTTTGCTATGTACTCAGGGTTATACACACATTGCCATTATGTTTATAAAACTGGAGAGTGGTAAGGAACTCTTCAAACTAATTATTAATTATAAATAGTCTCAAAATAATATTATTGGACTACCTTTATCACGGTTTATGGAAATCTCAGATGTTACTGGATACCACACTGCTATACTGTATTGTTTTCAGTATACTAGTACTAGTATTCATTTATAAGGGCCCTTTTAGAGAACTTCACCAAATATTAATATCGAGTTCTAGAGAGAGTTTTTAAGTATTGCTGTCTTCATTTAACACCTAGCCTATGGACTACCCAAAAAGCTATTTCCAGATTCAGTGCTACTGCCTCTTGAGTAGAAATGATTTGATCCCACATGATAGTCATATCCAAATGTGGCCTTAAACTCAGAGAAGAAAATATGGAAAGTGAAAGTTTATCTCCTTACCTTGAAACAAGATGCTTTTATTTCTTCTAACTGCAGGTACTAGGTTCATTTAAGTTTAGCCCACAGCAATGTTTTCAAACACTACTACTTTATAATAAAAATAAACTAGAATCCACAAGAAAGAAAATATCACAGTGCATGACATAATATGCTAAGAACTGTTTTGTGAAACTTATTTCAATTATTTATGTTTTAGGTACTGGGTTGAGGGATTGAGATATAAAATGCATGTCTAACTTTTTTTTTAACCTTTTTTAAATTTTATTTATGTGAAATTATTGTGCTTTAAGTGAAAGTTTACGATTCAAGTCAGTTTCTCATACAAAAATTTATACACACATTGTTCTGTGACTCTAGTTGCTCTCCCTGCAATGTGACCTTACATTCCTCCTTTCCACCCTGATTTTCCCATGTCCATTCAACCAGCTCCTAACCTTCTGTGCCTTCTCATCTTACCTCTGGACAGTAGCTGCCCGTTTAGTCTCGTGCATCTACTGGAGCTAAAAAGCACACTCTTCATGAGTATCATTTTATGTCCCATAGTCTAGTCCAATCTTTGTCTGAAAAGTTGGCCTCGGAAATTGTTTTAGTTCTAGGCTGACAAAGAGTCCAGGGGCCATCTCAGTCAGATCATTAAGTGTGGTCTTCTTACTAGAATTTGGGTTCTGCACCCCACCCTTCCCCTGCTTCATCAGGGACTCTCCGTTGTTTTCCCTGTCAAGGCGGTCATTGGTGATAGCCATCCAGTTCTTCTGGTTTCAGGCTGATGAAGTCTCTCGTTTATGTGTCACTTTCTGTCTCTTGGGCAAATATTTTCCTTGTGACTTTAGTGTTCTTCATTCTCCTTTACTCTAGGTGAGTCGAGACCAATTGATGAATTTTAGATGGCTGTTTGCTAAGTTTTAAGACCTCAGACACCACTCACGAAAGTAGGATGCAGAACATTTTCTTAATAAACTTTGTTATGCCAATTGACCTAGATGTCCCCTGAAAGCATGGTCCCCAGACCTCCGCCCCTGCTACTCTGTCCCTCAGAGTGTTTGGCTGTATTCAGGAAACTTCTTAGCTTTGGTTTAGTCCACTTGTGCTGAGTTCCCCTGTAGTGTATGCTGTCCTTCCCTTCGCCTAAGATAAGTCTTGTCTACTATCTAGTTAGTGAATAACGCTCACCCTCCTTCCCCACGCTCGTAATGATCAAAGAATATTTTCTTCTATGTTTAAACTTTTTCTTGAGTTCTTATAATAGTGGTCTTATGCAATATTTGTCCTTCTGTGACTAACTTTGAATAGACATTGCTGTTTCGTTCCAGTCAAAAAAGGTTTGGAAAACACTGACATAGAACATGGGGACAGAGCAGAAGTAGGAATTAACATTTTTTAAGTGTTTGCTATACGTCCTGTTATGGATTGAACTGTGTCCCCCAAAAATATGTGTTGTAAACCCTAATCCCTGTACCTGTGGCTCAGAGCCCTGGCAGCACAGCAGTTAAGGGCCTGGCTGCTAATCAAAAGGTCAGCAGTCTGAATCCACAAGACACTCATTGGAAACTCTGTGGGGTAGTTCTACTCTGTCCTATAGGGTTGCTATGAGTCAGAATTGACTCAACAGATTTATCTCTGTAGGTTAGGATTATTGCATAGCAATTCTGGGAGATCAAAACTCCTATTTCTCTGATGTTGATGAGATTTATAAGCCTAACACTGCCCTGAATATCCAAGATTTTGAAGGTATCCAAATTAGGCTTCATATGTAATCCTCCCAAGTCTTATTCAACAACACTGGACTCAAAGTAGGTCTCTAAATGTGTAAATAGGTATGACCCCATTTTATCTATGGAATATGAAGTAATTTACTCAACCAGTGACGTTTTCTTCAATAAGACATAGTTACATATAGCCAGGGGCAGATTATCCAACAGGCAGATCGTTTGTAGTGAACAATTTCACATATTTTCACCACATCAAAGATTCTATTTCTAAACATGGCTGGCTTCTGTCTCTCTCCCAACCCCACAGCACCTTCCTACAGAATCAAAGCCTCTTTTCAAATTTGCAGTCCCTGATAGGGATGGATCACTCAGTATGCAAGTTAAGCATGGGCTTATTTGTGGTTACCGATGTGGTAAAACCCAGATTAGTAAG